GAGGGGGCGGGGCCGGCGCGCGCCCCGGCCTGCCGCCATTACGCCTGCGCCCCAGCCGCCTCTCTATTGGCCCTCCTTCCTCCAGAAACCCATTGGCCGCCTTTCTGGCTCGAGCTCGCGCTCGCCTGTCCCCAGGCTACGGCTCGCTATTGGCTCGCATCTTTCTCTCTCTCTTTCTCTCTCTCTCAATCTCGCTGTTTCCCCCTCCTCCGCCCACGCGTTTCGTCGTTTTGTGCACCAACGGCGGTACCCCCCCTTTTCTCTCTTTTTTTTTAAACCAACTGCATTGAGCTGGCTGGCACGAGCCGCGAAACGGGCTTTGATTGGTCCGCAGGCAGCTGCTCTCGCGCTTTCTTCCCCGCAGCCGTTGCCTGGCCCCTCCGATGACGAAATGCCTCTTCAAGGTGGACCCCCCTCCTCCCTCAGAGAGAATAGTGGGGGGAGGGGGGAAACGGAGGAAAATCTTGCGTCGCTGATTGGTGGAGGAGTTTAAAGCGGGACAAGCGTCCCTTTCCCCTCACACGAAGATTCCGCCTGGATGCGTCCCAGAGGCTGTTTTGTGGATGCCCGACTCCATCGCGGCTGTGTATTTACGCATCCACACAAACATTTGATGGATTATGGGCCATCAAGTCCCTGTTGACTTGAGACAGACCTTCTCCAGCAAGACCTGTTCCCAACCTGGTCCTCCTTCGAGTCTTCCAACGGTGCCCCCATCCCCTAAGTGGATCCATCTTGCTGCTGGTCATTCTGTTCTGCTCTTTCCTTCCATCTTTCCCAGCATTATGGATCTCTGAAGGGAGCTGGGGCTTTGCACTGATTGATCGAATGGTCATATGCCATCAAGTCATTCCTGACTCTTAGCAACCAGAGAGATAGAGCTCCAGGAAGATTTGTCCTCAGCCTGGTCCTTCAGGTCTTCCAAGGGTATCGCTATCATCACTGTAATTAAGTCCATCCATCTTGCTGCTGCTCATCCTCTTCTCTTTCCTTCCACCTTTTCCAGCTTTATGGACTTCTCCAAGGAGCTGGGTCTTTGCAATGATTGATTGAATGATTATAAGCTGTCAAGTCACTATTGTCTCTTAGCAACCAGAGAGATAGACTTCCAGGAAGATTTGTCCCCAATCTGATCCTTCACATCTTGCGATCATACCTCCATTGCAACTGTAATCAGGTCCATCCACCTTGCTACAAGTAGTTTTCTTTTTCCTTCCGATTGATTGATTGATTGATTGATTGATTGATTGATTATGTGCCACTAAGTTGGTGTTGACTCTTAGAAACTATAGAGGTCCAAGAGATCTGTCCCCAACCTGGTCCTTCATGTCTTCCAGTGGTGCAGCCATTACCACTGTACTTGAGTCTGTCCACCTTGCTGCTGGTCATCATCTTTCTTTCCACATTTTCAGCATTATAGAATTCTCAAGAAAGTTAGATCTTTGCATAATGTGTCCAACTTATGATGATTTGAGCCTGGTCATTTGTGCTTTGAGTGAGAACTCTGGGTTGATTCATTTGATGATCCATTTATTTGTTTTCTTGGCTATCCATGGTATTCTCAGGAGTCTTCTCCAACACCATGGTTCAGAAGTATCCTTTCTATCCTGCTTCTTCAAAATCCAATGTTTGCTTCCATAGAGTATCACAAGGAAAACCACTGCCTGCACGATTCTGATTTTTGTACATATAGACACATCACAGCATCTGAATTTATCTTTTCTAAGGCCTTCATCTCTATCAAGTGCTAGTCTACATTATATTTCTTGACTTCTGGTTCCTTTTCTGTTGATAGCGATTCTAAAAGGCAGAAGCTATCCATCACTTCATAGTATACATCTAAATTGTATAAATAAATCTGTGTCATAACTTCAATTTAAAAGGATGACTAGCCTTGACAGAACAGCAGGTCCATAATCACAACAGTTCTTCCACAACTTATCATGGCTTCAGGGTGACTCATTTTTCTCTGCTGTGCAAAATGAACCCACCCGGGCCATGGCCACAGAGTCAGCAGGTGAGAAAGGGGAAACCCAGCTACCTTACTTGTCAGATGTTAATTATCACCAAAAGCACTTCATTTGATCTCTTGCACATTGGCCTAAAAGGGAGTGAGAAATCCTGAAGGGATAAGACAATATAGACATAGCTCAAATTCTGCCATTGTGCCTTGACTGCAAAGATACCTAGAAGTTCACATCCCTAGTTTGGGGGAAAAAAAATATCTACACTGTTGCACATGGTTGAGATTTTTTGCCACATTTAAACAAGGCCATATGTGTGTATCAATGTAGAACATATAACACCTTTTGAAAACTGGCAATTCCTTACAGTCCTATGGCAGAACTCAGAAAAATAATATGTTCATCACACATACTGTATTCATACAATTCAAAAATTGTGCTCCTAGTCCATTAACTTCATTGCCGTCTTTCTTTTTTTATGTCTTTGCTTTCACATCTACTGCAAGGTGTACAAAGTGAAAAAAGATAACTCAATGGAACATTTTAATATACAATATGCTGCTTTTCAGTCCCATGAAAGCATACTCAAAGCTATTTACAATGAGCATAATGAGTGAAAGCAGACTAAACCAGCTGTAGCTTAGAGACAAAAATTTCAAACCAAGTTAAAAGGCCACGAAAATAAAAAAATACCTTAGAAGATTACCTAAAAATTATGGGGGGACAGAGAAAGGTAAAGGAATTTGTCTGTAAAGGGAGCAACGTTCAGTCTGAATCCAGTGGAGAAATTCACAGGTCCCAGCAAAATAGACCTCTGTTAATTAATGAAGATGGGTGCTGCAAACTATTTTTTCACTATCTTCTGATGTTAGCAAGAGGTTCTAGATGGCCCCATTTTTCTTCCTAGTAAGAATGGAAGCTGCATTTGTACTCTCAGCATGAACACAAGGAATTCTTGTATGGAACCAACTACCCCATTTAAAAAGTGGGGAGCAAGAAAAAGAACATGATGGTAACGATATCATAGGGCGCAGAAGATTGTAATACATTCATTACAGTGCAAGGTCAATTTCCAAGCTGAGACTGTCAGTTAAGGGAAACTGCTAAACCCCACACCCATGGTCACAGGGGTCTTGGAAAGCCAATATGATTCAGCTACAATTCAGTTACATCTCTCTCCCATCATTTTTTCCAAAAGGCAAGTTAACAATTTGTGGGAAAATCAATTTCTAGGCAAACATTTGCCATGCCATTCTGCAAAATGAAAGCTATATTCACATGATATACTAAACCTCAAAGTAGCGTGCCATGTAAAAGAGCCAGTGTGATTATTTCAGGGTGTTGTGCAGAAGTCAGAAAATTGGGTTAAGTCAAATGTGTGAGCATCTTGTCCAAACAAAACCTGAAAATGACAATTTATGGACCAAGAAGGGCAATAAGAAAGAAGACTAGGAGGAAATCAAGCATGGAACTACTGTAATTGCCACAAATCTGGCTATCGATTTAACCCATTGTGATTAACCATGGTTTATTTTACTCATGGTGTATGGAATAAGTCATAATTATCTGATTTTCTCACTCTGCTAAATCTAAGCTTACAAGCTGCAATGGCTGGCTTCACACATTATTACAGCAAGCTATATTAGAACTGAATTCAACAGTACAACTACTGAATCGGGATCAGTTCAGAATTAACCAATGTCATTTTCCACATAGCAGTCCAGAGTTTGACAGCTCTTGGACTTCGATCAAGCTGAACTTTCATCTTTCAGAGAAAGAAACAGTTGCTTGCTTGACATCCCTGAAATTCTTTAGATGATTGCGCCATTTGTTTAAATGCCTTAAAATACCCATACATTTTTAGTAACTGTCCCAGTGTGGTCAAATCATCAGTAGTTTATAAAACAGGTATTTAATTTGGCTATTCTAGTTTCCATTCATAGTTTTTTGGTAATGTGTGAGGAAAGACAGTTTTTTCCTTGCATTCCTCTTCTATTACATTCCCATCTGAAATATATACCTCTAATAACTTCATTTATATGCAATTACTCCACAATGTAATTAGTATGCTTCTAATGTGCACCAATTCTCACTACTTTGATATTGCAAATTTGGTCTGGTATTTTGCTGGTTGCAATTCTGTGATCTCAAACCTGGATCATCCAGAATCTGACAGAAAAAAAAGAACACCTAAATCTCTGAGGAAGTTTGTGAAGGATAAGTTTCCAGATCCCAAACAAGGTGTGGCAGTTTAAATCTTGTAGAGTTTAATAGCTGCACATCATCTACACAATGATAAGACACATTTCAGGTGTTTCTTTTATGGCATAATAAATATGTTGTGGATCTAACTTCATGTCTTAACTTGGGAAAAATATGTTTCCAGAAGCAGTGTTTCTGTTCTGCATAAATTGTAGCACCAGTTTGAGGTCATTTTTTTTTTTCACTGTACACTGAAATCCAAACAGGAAACTCAACATTGCAGCCTGCTGAATGCAGAACTGAGAAGTAAAAGTGTGTCAAGGGTTCTCCATTTTGTAAACTGCCTATCCCTTTACACAGCACCAGGTTTGGGTGTCAGCTGTCAACACACTGCAATTTTTCAAACAGTCTAGTCAAGAAGAGTACATTGAGCTGTTGTGTAGCTAACAGTGATGCTCTACAACATTCCCTTGTTCTCAGATTCCCAAATATAGAAATGTCAGCCTTACTCTCTACAAGAAAGCCTTGTGCATTTGCCACGCTACTGAAGTATTCTAGCTGCAGTGCACGATGTGGTATTTAGTTTCCCAACAGAGGATATATATTTGCAAAAGTGGGGGGATGGAAAAGAAGCTATTCCTGTGTCAATAATCTCACAGGAGACTGCATCTTTTGAGGAACAAATTATTATATGGTTTAGCTACTCAACTGCTGCAAATCATAATAAGAGATGGAAATACTGTAAAGACATAGGTCTAGCCTGTCATGGCTCAGGACTCAGACTCTGAGTCTGAAGAAGCTGCTCCAGCTGAACCAGT